TCATTTGTCATTGTATTGCTAATATACTTTTCTGATATGTGAGGGTTACGAAAGAAATCAACAACAACAACAAACAAAAAAACCATCCCCAAACAACCCTGTACAAATATTTATCGATAAAATGGGAATGTTCTGCAAAATGCAGAGCACTAAAACAGGTGTGACTAGTGGTATAACATGACATTTACATGCGTAAGCCCAAGCTAACAAAGATACAACAAATATAAAAATTAAGAAACAACCATTAAAAATATAGTGTCAAACAAAAACTCTAATGGGCAACAAAGTAATACTGATAAAATCAGACAAACATTCAAATATGAACCCAAAGAATATATATGTAGAATACAATAATACATACATGTACACCAGAGTTTTTAAAAAAGTAGTCATGGAAACTGACAGTAGCAGAGTACAAAAAAATTAGTCGAGTACAAACCCAGCCAACCCCCAAAACACCTTAAGTTATGCACCAACATCATATGAATCCCGTAAATGCGAGCAAACACCAAGAAAACTAAAAAAAATACAATGTACACAAATGTCTCAGTATCCATCCCACTGATTCTGAATGCAAGTAAAATTTGAACAGTTCCTTCTCATCTGAGAGCAAAGAATATCTAGAGCCATCAATTAAAGCACTGTTAAACGCAGAAGCTTGTCACCTCCAGTGATTTATAAAATCTTCTCATCTTGATATTTCATATAAAATATTTCCTGTACTCTCTATACACAAGTACCGCAGCACGGCCAAACTGTAATTTTCAGAGGGTCTCAAAAAGTCATTACATTTAAAAAATTGAGATTACAAATGCTGATACATTAGAAGAATGTACTGTTTAAAAAAATCCAGCAACATAAAAATAAATAAATCCCAAATTCCCCAGAAAATGCTGTTCAATAGAGAAAATGAAGAGTTCATGCTGCCACACAAATGATACAACAAGGTCCTAGTAGCCTCAAACTCCCTTTGTATCAAACTATCAAGCACAGCTGCTTTTGACCAACAGAAGTTCACAATACTATTTTGAACATCAAAGTGTGAGGTTTCTTGTTAGTTTTTGTTTGAAGAGAGTTTTACAACGCTTGCAACACAAATGGGTCATAAGTACTAATTTAGGGGTGTTCCTAGGAAGTAACACACATGTACAAAGAAAAGAAGGAGGAGAAGTAGAGATCTTAATATGTTTGTAGTAAGTAAGGAGCAAACCACACCAGAGCTGCTGTCAACCACCCACAGTTTCTAGTTAATAGAATGAAGAAAAAAATATCGATCTCTACTACTATACTATAATCATTTATACAAAGATGCCCACAAGAAAAACATAGATCTCAACCAAGGCTTTCTCATAAGGCCTGAACCTCAACCCAGACCATTTTCAGGACCTGGGAACAGAAGGTGGAACGATGGCAACTGGTGGGCCAGGCAAGACAGGAACAGTTTCAAGACAAAATGAGAAAAACTTATGTTTGTTGTTTTAGTAGAGGTTTTACGGCGCTCGCAACTGCATAAGGTCATATAAACGCCAGAAGATAAGAGGTGTTACAAGAGAGTAACAAACATAAAAAAGAACAAGGGGAGATAAGGACGATAGATGTTTGATAGGAAAGAAGAAGCAAACCACACCAGAGCACCCGCCAACCACCCACAAGAAAAACTTAGCAGCTTGCACCATCTGAAGGGTCACAAGACGATGAAAAAAAGTGCAGAACATCAGCCCTTCTATCAGCATTTTCTGGCTTGCAATAGCCCTATTAGCAAGGAGCACCATTCAATATGGGGCATAAAATGTAAACAAATACAAGTACATACAACTCTGTTACAAACACTACTGCTCTGTCGGTAAAGACAGAACATTGTCTACCACAGTTTGGGCATTTAAGTGTCATGCCAGAAGTGGGTCTCTCATCATCAGAGGTGAATTATAACAGTAACCAAAAGGACAACACATATTTATCTATACATCTGTGCCAAGTAAGTTAAAAACATATAGTGTTCCGTTTCTGGAGACCTAAAACCTAAAACGCACTGTTCTTTAGCTGCTTGATTCTATATTACACAAGTTTGGCTGACAAAAAATACATTCAGCCGAAGAATATAACATTTTCTAGACTGTGACATTCAGATTCTGAAAAGTAGTTATACAGCTTATTTCAATACAACTCTAAGAACTGTAACGAATCTTAAAAAAAGACTTTACTGTGACATGACAGCCGGGGAGCTACATCACATTTGAAGACAGACTATTCCTGATGCATTTTATACAAGAACTGAAAATCCTTTTCATTCCTAAGCAGAAATAATCACTTTAGACACTGTGTCCTTGAGCTCTCCACCTAAAGTGTAGTTAAAACTTTAATAATGACACGAAAAATTGTTTTGCTTCTTATTCTATATTACATGTGGGTCACCCGAGTCGCCAATAGGTAGCAAAGACTTATGTTTAATACCAATAGTAAACTTGTATATTCTTCTTTTCTGTTTGTAAAACAGGAAAGTTAAATCAGCACAAGTGTCCACACTAACACGTAATGTAAAAAAAATACTTGTCTGAGGCCTTGAGCACCAAACACAAGTGACTAGAACATTTCTATGACTTGTTGGAGCATCAGCCATGAAAATGCTCAAAACAAATCAATGATAAAGGGAAAAAAATCAATGATGAAAAGGCGCATACTACAAAAAATAACCAGCAGCACAACAAAAGCTTATAGTGGCTTAAGCTACTCATGAATATGTCGTTTGCTTTGATATGTTGAGAAACAAAGTCAGCATTACTACAACAACAAAAGCATGAACAAACAGAAACTCTATTAAAGTTAAACTATAGATCTAATTCAACTTATCATTAAAAATACATTTTTATATCCAAATACTCTTTAGATACAATGTAACTTTATTCGTTTGTTTTAGTTTTAGTAGAGGTTTTACGGCGATCACAACTGCATAAGGTCATATGAGCGCCAAGGGGCGGATGTCAAGTCAACAGAGAAATCCTTACAGGGAATCAGACTTACTCTGCTCACCTCTCTAGCTTCAACAGCACAACAAAGTCTGCTTCGACTATCAAGGCACCCCGGAAATAGAGGGTCACAAGAGTGTGACAAACATGCAAAAGAAGTAGAGGAAAATGACGATAGTAAGGATTAGGAAAGAAAAAGCAGGAGTTCCCTTTTGCAGTTCCCTGATAAATCAGCCCATTTACAATTACAATTCTACTGTGCAAAAGAACATGGTTAATGTCCCCAATTTGGGAATGGCCTAAAGAAACTTCAGTCAGTAGCACCGCCCCAGGGGGTGTAACTTTATTCAACACAGTAGGCATAAACTGATGGTGAAAAAAATAGTTGAGAGGAACAGTGGACTTGTACACATTAGTAGACAAAAATTCTGCAATGCATAGGCTTTTTATACTAACATGCTGAATTCTCATATTCTTTGGCACAAATATTTTACATTTTCAGCATTATAAAGGCAAAAACCTATAACGTCATTCCATTTACTATACCTGAACATTGGTTACAATTGCACTCGATTTTAAAAAAGTGTGCACAAATAAAGAGAAAAACACTGTGTATGAGTGGGTTTGCACACAAGTGCAAGAATCAGTGTGTACAAAAAGGGAATGACAACAAACTTTTACCATTTTCAGTTCTTTTGAATTTGAAAAGTAGTGAATCTCTTCGTAAGACTGTTGTGAAGAAGACGCAAACATTAACAAAAATGAAGAATGTCTAATTATGACTTATGGTTATGATAAGTCGCTGGCATGAAAACAAATTACGATCATCTTGACTCGGCGCAAATACCACATTTATTTATATTATATGAACACAAAAACTTCATAGTTTTAGAAACAGCTTTTTAAAATGTAAGCATTAAGACACATTTTACATCATTTAGGAGGCAGGCTGCTTTAACCTTGACTGACCAGGCCAACACGCGCTGAGAGTGATACAACCTCCCAAGAGAAAACAAGTAATCCGACTTTCAAACACATCAAGAATGATCAGATTTTACTGTAAAAAACGACTAGATTCCCTTGCACAAATGCTGAATGTATTGCAATCACACTTATGATAATACATTACAAGTACAATGAACCCTTGCTAACACAAATTTTATGGGACCAGAGAATCTCTTCAGTTTTTACAGATTTCATGATAGGGGAAGTTGTAATGCATTGACTAAAAAAGGGAGGGGGATGCGAAATCCTTTCGAGGTAAAAGGAATTTGGTATTAAACATCTTTGTGTTAAATATAGTCATCTGTACCCTACAGTGAATAAGGTAATTATTGTCCTGAGCTTATCTTAGGCGGAGACAATGGTAAAAACTAAATAATTACTCTCACTGTCTTCTCATCAGCAGTCTTTTGTCATTAGCATGAGTCAGTGACAGAAACTTAGAAAATTTGAATACATGTAGACTACTTTGAAATAGTAATGGAGTAATTAGTTATTGGTTTTGGCTGAATATCAATATATCCGCTTGCGTTTGAATGACCGAACAGAAGGTTTAGAGGGAGATACGAGGGGGTGACTTAAGTGTAACAGTAACAGGAGACACCTTTTTGCACTTTATAATTCTTATCTGAAAAGGCACTCTTTACTATCATTCAGTCCTGAGTAAATATTCATCAGTTTGAGCAGCACCTTTTTTCACTTCTATTAATTGTTTGAAAGTCACAGACAAAGACGTAAACTTACAGAGATCTTGCTACCAGGGACACCCTTGCTCTTATTGATCTCATCAAAAAGGAGGGTCTCAATGAAAATGAAGAAGATGACAAAACATGCGCTTGGTCCTGCTAAGACATTTCATTTATAACTTAGTCCATCCCTAAAGTTCCAATTTTATTTTATTGTATTTCTTTAGTCATTCCAATGGCTATATATATATATATAGAGAGAGAGAGAGAGAGAGAGAGAGAGAGAGAGAGAGACCGGTTAAACCATCCTAAGTAAAAGTCCAAAATGCAAATGAAAGCGTGGATTAAATTCAGGGCAGAAAAGCGAATTTACTTCAAGGAAACATATGCACTCGTAGGGGAAAATATGGTCAACAAATTGCTGTTTGCAAATCAGACCTAATACATATTCACCCTTTTTCTTGAAACATTTTGTTCTTGGGTGACAGACAGAGCAAGTCGGTAAAAAAAAAACCCGGGCTCATCTCTGAGAGAATAAGGCCTGCTCACACTGAGACACACATGCCTCGTGACAGTACAACTACAATTCAACACAGTCCTGTCCCAAGAATATCAGCACAAACAGATATACAATGCCAACCCCCCCCCCCCCTAAAAATCTCAAAACATAAAAAAAAAAACCCAAAACATGTTCAGAACAATAACATAATAGAACCATTTGCCTGAAAGTAAAAGCCTCAATATAGCTTTTTTTATACACAACTAAGTGTTGCAGAAAAAAGAAATAAAACATATGATTATAATAAGGTACCACTGGGACTGGGACAGGCAGGACATTTATTTTGGTAAGGGATAAAACACTGTTAACAGTTTTGCTTGGCTGCGACACTTAAAAGGTGATTCACAAGAATGAAAGCGTGTAGATCATATGACTAGTGATGGCTCTGTACAATTCATACTGTGTGTTCAAGAGGTGCGATGATATTAAAGAAAACTGGTGGTGGTGCCATTTCATGTTCGCTATTTCAATAGTGGTACATGGCAAAACTGGCACCATGTATTTTACACTTGAAGTATTTGAGATATTTTTGTTGGACAGATTTAAAATAATTTTTCAGTTATAAAGATAGAAATGCCCTGATTATCAATTTGAGTGTCTGCATGATGGTGAAATATTTCGAATTAAGTAATTTAAGAGGTGGATATGACACAGACCCACAGAACCGTAGCAGTATACCCAACAACTTGAAATTATCTAAACTTCCTTAGATCGTCACAAGGATATCAGAAAAGTAAAAGATGCATTGATGCCACACTCCTTCATCTCCCACTCTGTTCAGAAAAAACTGTCTTAACTAATGCTGGTTAATGAAATGAGAGGTGAAGCTGTACTTCTCTGTGAAAGTGTGGTTACATACTGTGCAGCACCATGGGTTGTGCGCAGCATGGAGACCAGCGTGCATCAGGTACATAGCCCGCTGGAAGAACATAATGTCACAGAACTCACACAGGAATGACTGACGCGTCTGGCTCCCCTGTATGCGTGTCACGTTCGTGCTACTACTACAGCTGGGAGGATCCTCAGAATCAGATTTGCGGGAGATTTTGCCGCGAAGAGGCAAAGAAGATGAAGAGAAACCAGTGACAGAAGATTGGAGGTAGTGCTGATGGCTTTTCTCACCATACGAAGCGGAACGATCTATTGAGGACTCTCGAGGACGTTTGTTTCCTGCTCTTCGCATGAAGTCTTGAGGCGAGGGGTTGGATGGCAGAAACTTGTCCAATAAAAGTTTGGTATCCTGTGATCCATGTGTAGTTGGTAAGGGGATGTGTCCCTGCATGCCATCATATTCGGAGTATGTATCAGCTCTTTCGGTTTTGCTTGGGAAAGACTCCGCAGGGATTTCTCCTGGAGACAACTGCGAATCATCAGCTTGCCCTTCTACTTCTACTTTACAAGGCAAAGGAGAACTTGCTGGGAAAGATATGGGTAAATCGTCATCTTCAGGAGAGGATAAGGACTCCCCCTGTTCAGGGTCTGATGCTGACGCCATACCCATTTTTGATAAAGGAGCCATACTCTCTCGCATGAAGTCTTGTTTTGGCAAATTGGAAGACTCATATGAAGAAGGGGGCAGTTTTCCCTGCATTTTTCGGGAACTTGGAAGCCCACTAGAGGAGTGCATGATGGCAGAAGTTGACTGATCGAAGTCTGATGATGACTTACCCATTTTCCCAACATCCCAAAAATTGAGGCCTTCCCCTGCATTAGGTGGAGCAGGCCCAGAACCAGACAGATTCATATTAGGAAAACCCATCACTGGTTTCAGCTGTGTTGATTCCACCATCATCCCGTGAACTGTGTGCAAGTGCTTTTTCAGGTCCTGTTTTCTTTTGGCCGCGTATTCACACATGGCGCAAACCCAGGGGCGCAAATCTGAATGCACAGCCTGGTGGTTTAACAAACTGTTTCTAAAAGCAGTACGAAAGTCACACAAATGGCAGACATACACTTTATTTAATTCGTCATACGCCAGGTTCATGTTTGGACCTAGACCAGGAAAAAACTTGAGATCCTGTTGGGAAGACTGCAAAGGTAGTCCTTCAGACATGTTTGATTTTCCAGAGGCAAACTCAGGTAACAGAGAAGTCATGGCATCCAGAGAGCTGTTTAGCCCTGGGGGGAACATTTCACTTTCACTGGTCCCAGAATTGCTAGACTCCTTCTCCTGAGCAGGGGAAAGAACAGACTCCGCCTGTATGTGTCGCTCACTCATCTCTGACTCCATGGTGAGTTTGGAAGAGAGAGAACTGCAATAAAAGCAAACAAAGGGTTGAAAATTTGTCAACGGAACTCATGCTCTGTCGTAATAATTATATGAACGAATCATGAGTGACACTACAAAGATATCCAGGTAAAGTCGCTTTGAAAAGAATTGCATTGGAGTATAAAACTCTGGTCTCATTATACAGCCAAGTAATAAACAAAAGGCCACGAAACAATGTTATTAGGTTAAACAGGTCAGAGGGCATGTTATGAGTAAATATGTAACATGTTCTTTTTTAATCATGATGACATTCTGTTTTGTTCATAAACTATGATTACAAATTTTAGTTTGGGCCCAAAAATTAAATATTGATTTGCCATTCACATAAAATGCTTAGTAACATGAGAGACATCTCAAAATATACATAAAATCAAATTCATGTTCACTGAATGACAATCAGATTTTAGATTTAATGGTTTGCCTATCATACCTAATACGAAAAAATTCAGTTTGGACTCAAAAACTATTTAATCTGTTATTCACATAAATGCCTGTATTTAATGAGACCTTTCTCATAATATCATGCATATTATATACAAGCAAGAAAAAGAAACGCAAAAAACTATTTTGGCCATAACTAAAAAAGCCATCTATGGTAGAAGACTGAAGTTTACACCATCAATAGTATGTCATAGCCTCATTGAGAATCAAAAGTCACATGTCTTGTTTGTCACCGGCAACTAAAGTTATTGCCCCTTAATTGAAGCATGAAAAAAGTAACGTGGTGCCTCTGAAACACCGTCTAAATAAGTGAAAAAAAGGGTGAAAAATGTTCACCTGAGCTCGGCTGTAAAGCTGTGGTAAAAAATAGTTTCGGTCGTTTCGCCTGCATTGGCGACGAAATTGCCACGTTTTAGGGCTGTACTGTAAGAAAGAGCAATAGGCTGTTTGGAGGGAGGAGAAAGGTCAATTGTGGTCGCCAATCATTTTGGTGTTCACATCTAGACTATCCACTGACTGATAAGCCGTTTTCAGCTCGCTAATTCTACAGCATACCAAAAAAGGTCAGGTCGACCCAGAGTAACCAAAGCACATGCATACAGACACATTGTCCGGATGTATCGTTCAAATCGACTTCAGACAGCTACAACAACATTAGATTTAATAAGGGGTACCCACAGAAGAGCCCAAAGTCGAGACACAGTGAACCGACGATGGTGTCAGATAGGCTGTAGACGCCGTAGACCGTACTATGGTCCAGTCTTGACCGCACACCATCACCAAGAGTGTCTGAGTGTCTCAACTGGGCCCAGCACCATGTCAACAGCCATCTGAGAGACTGGTCCTCGATTCTCATTATTGGTCAAATGCCTGTTCTCCATAGATACAACAAACAGAGGCCTCATAGTTTATAAAAATGGAGACGAACGTTATCGTGACAGCTGTGTCATAGACAGGAATCACTGGGGAGGACATCACGTCATGACCTGGGGTGGAATCAAGGGGAACCACAAATGCACCGCAGTTATCCGATCTAATGGTGGCCATAACCACTACTGAGCATTTTGATGCATTAACCGGAAGTTGAAAATGTTGTCCATTTAAATTTAATATTCACAGTGATGCCCCACGTATCCTTTCATAATGCTAGAAAACAGTTTGTGTTTAAATTCCCCCCTTTTGTAAAAAAATGGAAAACGAAGATGATCACCATTGCAAAGTAAACAGGATTTTGCGTTTCTTTTGCTCGCAAGTATATGAATTCAAAGGTTATGAACTGTGAAAAAGCCATCAAAAGGACAATATAAATGGTTTGTTTTCATTTAATAAAATCAAAATGCCATAACAAGAGCAAGGTCTAATATTATCCTACAATTGACTTGAAGTTAAAAAAGTAAGTCTCAAAACAACAGTAGATTACATGCTACACGATATTTTAATAACAAAATGTACAAAACTGAACATAATATGAAACCAACCTACTACGATGAGTGAATTCTTGCCCCTTTTTCTCGTCTTTATCTACATGTCATTAGTAAACTTTTCTCCCAGTAAAACCAGGATGTGAAACAACAAAAGATCTTGCACTGATATTTGCATAAATATTAAATCATACATTCATAAAATAACTAAGTTAGTGGTTCTCATGATGATCACATCTCTTATTTATTTAATAAACAAAATCCTGTGATGAACGGGAAAAATATAATATCTCATCCAGTGGACCAATGAAAAAACAATGTTTAATTATAATACATGTCATTCTTGAGTGTGGTACTTTCAGTGACATGGTTTCCAAGACCTACAACATTCAGGTTGGGAAATTACAATCTAGCCATGAACACACTGTATTGCATTTTTAATTATTTATTCAAACAGTAAAAACATTGAATCAACAAAAATGTAAAAAATTAAACTGTCAACAAACAAATGATACTACTATGAACTATGATGATGTGTATATTTAATACTGTTTTTTTCAATAATTTATATTGATTCTTTGCTGGATGGTTTAGGATAGCAACATTCTACATATTTTATAATTTAACTAAAGTCTTCCGCATACCCATGTCCTCTTGATGAGTTAAAAATGCTGTAATTGTTCACCTCCCTATTATATAAGACATATACACCCATCAAATTCTATAAATCGGCTTCAAGCAGCTTGACAATCAATCTAAGTTTCTTGTCATGTGAATAAATTTTTAAAATTGTTTTTACATTAGCCATAGCTGATTCCAAACTCCTGACTCAAACAACCCCACCTTTTTTGCAACTGCAATGGGTAATTTTTCCTTTACCAAAAAAAGTAAAAAACAGAGCATTATTCTGTGGGCTGACCCAATCAGACAGGTATAGGCTGTTAAAGAAAAAACCCTGTTTCAGGTCACACTCTACTTAAAAATCAAATATATGATACGCCTTCAAATCTAGCAGAGACCCTTAATTTTAAAAGACAGGGCTTGGTTGATGGGGGACGCAGAGTTGTCAAAGAAGGACTACACCTACCGATCAGGGCTAGGATACTGAGAGTTTGCCTTAACAAACATCGAGCCCCCAAACTGACCTCTGGCTTTTTTGGGGGGGGGCGTGGGGGCTTTAATATAAAATATTGATTCTATGTAATAAAGAAGAGGCAAGCCGTAGGCCTACGTAATGACGGCTAGACGGCCGGCTAGGCAAGCCGTACTGAATAATCATAATGATGGCTAGACTGGCAAAAAGCAAAAAATACTGAATTGTAGAGATCTTTATTAAATAAAATTTTAGTTTGCAATACCTAAAGTAGTTTGTATTTGAATTCGAGACGAAACCAGAATATTACATTTTAAACCTGAATAATGACAAAAATTAGACCAGTGTGTATTCAACAGGTTTCGGTCAATACGGCCAAACCTAAGTACAGCTAGACTGGAACTGGAAGGCTAGCCGTACTTAAAACCCTTTGAGCCTTGACTCTACTGACCCTAATAGTAATACCCCCTGCCTGGCCTTGTCGACCATTTTAAGGGAATTTCACATGGGTCACAACAAATAGAGATTGACTATAGACAAAATAACAAATACATCAAACACAATAACAAAATATCCACACAAAAACTAATCAGAGTTGCCAGAGAATAGTTTTTTGCACACACGTTTATGCCAAGAAGGGCCTGACTCAGGCTCACTTGGATCCGTGACTACCAGACCCAGACCGGTGAACTGAAGGGGTTTATCGGATCATGCATCGATAAAGTTCTGGAACGGTCAGAATGTTTCTCGGGGTCTAAGGGTTAAAGACGGCTAGACTGGCAGGCTAGCCATACTTAGTAACGATGGCCAGACTGACAAAAAGCAAAAAATACTGAATTGTAAATTAAATAAAATTTTAGTCAGCAATGCCTACATTAAGTGTATTTCAGATGAAACCAAAAGGTGCCTTTCTCACATGCATGTTATTTTAAACCTGAATTTACTTTTAATGAGACCTGTGTACCCAACAGGTTTCCATCAATAGAGTCTACCCTAAGTACGGCTAGACTGGCAGGCTAGCTGACAAGTGTATAGCTAGAGAAGGACAACTAAACGCCACGGGCCGATATTTATAGTAACAACCATCTTGTTTGACCTCGCAAGGGGGATGCCCGCCGCGCCATCTAATCGTGATTTGCGTAGCATGTGGTTTGCACAGGCAGTTTCCAAGCTTCCCTCTTAGAGTTTTCCTAGTGGTTCTCCCTAGTATACTGCTTTTGCACTCACAGTATCCATTTGCAAAACCCGCAGTCTCAAATTAGATCTACTCCATTTGCAGCTCAGCGTCTTATAGAGTCCAATCTCTTGTAAGCGCTTAATTTCTAGTGCTTACAAAACTTTAATTATTTGCGCAGCGTTGTTGAACTTTGAACTTGTTTTTGTACGTAGGCCTACTCTAGGTCTTTTTTTTTTCTCAGTTTACGTAGTGTACAGCATTAGAATCAATCTGGACGAAAAAAGTGTGATGCACAATCACAGAGAACCGAACGGAACAGTTTTGCAAGTTGCAAAGAAAATAATCCGTGTCGGTAGGCTGCCGTAGTGCGGTGGTGTTGCCACGATGACTGACAAAGTGGGAATCCTTCAATGACGTCAAACAAGATATGGTTGTTACTATAAATATCGGCCAATGGCATTTAGTTGTCGTTCTCTAGCTATCCGCTTGTGGCTACCTGTACTTGTACAGTTACGGCTAGATTAGACGTACTTTAAAGGATGGCTAGACTAGAATGCTAGTTCGATAATTTGTTGACAACCATTTGTCACTTTAGACTTGAGATCTAGATCTAGACTTAGACAGGATTTTTTCACCACAATTTAGATCTATATCTAGATCTAGACTAGGTGTTGCCTTCTTTCAATTTCAATAGTCTATTTCTTCACAATGACAATGATTCAATCAGTTCAGTATTCTTCTAATCAAATCTAGATTCTACTTCGAACTAGAATACTGTCACTTTTACTTTAACTAGATCTAGATTTTACGGCAATTTTGTAGTTTCGTTCGTTTAAGTCCAAAGCTGAACGCCAGAGACCCAGAATTGATGTAATTGTTGAGGAGTGAACTAAAAGCGTGAGACTGGAAGGAAACACTAATATAAGCCAGTAAATCAAAATTCAAACAAAGAATGCAGTGGCGGTGGGTGGACCAAGATTTGGGTGGGGCTTAGGTTTCTCCCACTTCTTTACCACCAAAAAGCAAGCAATATAAGAACAAAACAGTAATGATTTTTCTATACTCACGGCCAGCCATGGCATTTTGAGAACCATTCAAACGAGAAGAGTCACCTTTGTCTTCCATCACTTTAAAGTTTGTTCTTAGTTAACGAAGCCGTTTCACTTCCAAATTTCTCTAATTAGTTTTTATCTGAAGAAAACGTTGCCTCAAAAGTGGTTTGATGTAATTAATAAAAATGTTAAATCTCAGAGGCACAAACACACAGCACTCCAAACACATACCGTCTATGAATTGGGTTGGGTTGTGTTGCTGCGGAAAATAAAACACGCCTAACAAAGGCCCAATGGGCGCATAGGTAACTGCGTCACTGGGGGAAAGTATGTCGTAAACTTTCACCCCATTGTCAGGGCTGGGAGAGCGTGAGCCCTCTGTACAGAGCTATTTTTTAAAAGTCTTCTACTTTTTTACAAGAAAAGTTTCATTAAAGACGGGCGTGGGAACCGGCTTATTCTTTCTGAGCCGTAACGACATTTGAATGGCTGTTAGGTTTCTATAGTTGTAAGCGGTGACAACA